AGAGACTGATGTGAATTTCACGGGTAATTAACGTTCAGCTGGAGCAAGTTAACTTCTCTCCTTACATAAGTGATTCTTATTATTTGATGAAGATACTGATAGTCTAGAATGGTACAAGCATGAACATAACCTATGCACAAGCAAATCAATCCACCTCTTTGATACCTCGGCAAAACCCTTTCTAATACACTCATGAAACTAGATATTGGGTTCACACATTGATGATTCTACTAACTCATTTAACTTATTAGTTTCGAAATCAATTTTACCACATATACAAGGAGCCAAATTCAAGTTACTAACTTGAATGAATCCACATCTTCAATTCCCATTTACAATCCGCCCATGCACAAAACTTTGATGTGCTCCAGGCAACACAAATGGACATACCGCTGGGTTGGGACTCACGCACCAATGTTAGGTAATGGAAAAATTGAACCTGGCCTAGCCCCCTTGTACTGAAGTCATACGTAAGGCTTCGATACGGTCATGCAGTCGCGATTATACTACTGCACTGCCGTGATAGTCAGTAGCGACGCAGGATTTTTCGTAAGCGGTGTCACGATTTTATGCTATGAACAACAAATATATCTCTACAATATCATATTAAATTAAAAAAAATCATAACTCGAATCATATTAATAAAACAAAACTCAATTATATTACAACTCTTCTTGATAAATTTTAATCTTTTGAAATATATTCAAAATAACCTTACTAGAAATTTACTAAAATGTACTTTCATTTCTATAAAAGGCACCAAACAATCACTTAAAAACTCATAATTAATCTGCCAATGTTCTTAATCAGTATCACCGTCGAGAAGAAAATCAAAGGAAAAAAAAACAGAAAATTAGCATAACAACTTATGGAAGCATCATCCTTTAGAACTCATAGCTTTTAAATAATTTTGGTATTTGGTTCTTGACCGATTAGTTTAGGTTTAAAAAATCTAAAACACAGCGCGCAGCTACAAGCTTCAAACACACGACACGAGCTAGAAAGCTTTGACGCTTAACCAAGTGAGCTACCCGGCCAATCATGCCAAGTGGTGTCACTTAAATTAAATGATACGTTTGTTTGGTTCTGCAATTTAATTAGTTATAAGCTATTAGTAAAATTTTCCGACGAAGCGGTGTCACTTGACACCGCTTAAATCCGCCCCTGGTGATAGTTCTCTTGTCACAACCATTTGTTTTTCCAAAATCCTTCATGCTGAGAGATAGCAAGTTCTTTATTCCACTCCAACAATTCGATGTTTTTGTGACGGCCAAAATCCTATCCGGACCTCGCCAAAATTCAACTTTCATCACATCATAGACACTTATATCAACTCTATGGCTTGTCTCATGCATGGTCAAATAAAACGAGAGGTTGGAGTGCCACATTTTAATTAGCTGAAAAGGCTTAAAAGCACCTTTGGTGTTTATTAAATATTTTAAAAAATCCAAAAAAATTTAAAAGATAATCTTACCTGCTTTTACCCAAGCGCCCTCTTAGAACATATGAATAATGTAGAGGAATAGTTTCTCTTTAGCAGTATCCTTTTTCAAGTACTAATTATTGTTAGAGAAGTGTGGTGTTTTACTGTCTAAATAAGCATTGGAATAAAAGTAACGGTTTTGGAAAATGTATAAATACAGAATTATGTTATGAGACAAATTAAATAAAGAATACCTGGTCCAGCAGGATAAACCATGGGGCTGAAAGGAGGTTGCACATTAATCAAAGTGATAATAGTGATTTCTTCTTCAGAATTGTTTAGCAAGTGATCCAATGCCCAATTGAGAGCATAGAAACTCTCTTCGCTCTCGTCCATAGCCACCATTATCATCTTCCTCTTCGTCTCCCTCGCTGCTGCTGCTGAGATGTGCGGTGGCTGCTCCTCCGTCACACTTGCCGGAGCTGCACTTGTCTCCGCCGCTGTTGCGTCCATTTTACCGTCCGTCTCTCTCTCTCTCGGTTGGTCTTTTCTCCTCTCTTTGGTAGCTTTTATTTATATATATATATATATTCTTTTTGGTAGCTTTTATATATCCTGCTTTCTATTTTGAGACAATTTTGTCCCGAGTTAATTCGAGCGTTTAATGTTTGGTTGGCTTAAATCGAGAAAAACAAAGACACTCAATACCAGGATCCAGCAAATAATAACTCGACTACTAATGCAGGAGTAGTATAAAGAAGTAGTCGTTCCGTTTTCATTTACGTAAACTTGTTATATTATTTAAGGAGCCAAATAAAATTAATTTTTATCACATTTTATACAAATATTTTTATTTTAAATGACTAACTATTATGACTTATAGTAATTCTTATATAATTTTTAAATATATATTTTATTTTAAAATTATAAAAATTTATGTACAAATGTATGCTAAAAATTAAGTAACAAGTTTAACTCTGACGCTCTAAAAAGGTTAGCATAAATTAAAATAAAAGGAGTATACAAGTAATGAGTTATGCATATGATACTTTCATATTTCTACATTTAAAATAAATTTTGTTGCATATTTTCGTAAGATTTAGGTTACAATATGGCATATTGTTTGATGACCTAATCAAATAACTGTTTTTTGAGCTTATCATCCCTTTCTAAGTAAATAAATTTGGAAGAAAATTTTAATAAAAAAGTTATTCACGTACTTGGTTAGGTATTCGAAGAACTAAATCCAATTTAAGTCGACTTGCTCTTCGGCAGCTTTTAAGTGGGATTACTGTAACAAATATGTTGCTCGATCGATCCCTTGGTTTAATTAAGATGCCTTTCAAATTTGAGCGTTAAAATAAGATGTCAAGTTTTCTTAAACTCGAAAATAAATGTTTTATTAATAAATATTTCTTTATTTTAATTTATACGTATTAGTTTGATTGAGCATGAAGTTTTTAAAAAAAAAAATAAGGAAGATTTTTAAATTTGTTTTAAATTAAAGATTGTGTGTAATATAAAATACTCTTAAATCTTATAGTCTTAAATTTGCCTCATGAAATATTAGAGTTAAAGAATATTTTAAATATAAAAAAAGTTTGAAATAGATTAAAAAGAAAGTAAGACATAAATTTAAAATAGCTAAGATATGGATTGATTTGAAAGAAAAAGATTGGGAGAGCAATAACTTTGAGGAAGAGACGTGGCTGCCATGCACGCAAGTAATAGCCATTCAGACAGACATGCAAAAAGGAAGGAAAATGCCAAGTCGACATGCAGTAGTGAGGAAGCAAAAACTCCCCACGTTAGCTTCAAATACTACCATTGTTTTCTGGTGGACTAACTTCTTCATTCTTATCTCACTTGCGATAAACCCAACTTGTCGTCTCACTTTGTCTTTATGAGCACCGTATTATATTGCTCCCTCCGTTTCGGTGGAAAAAAAAATAAATTAATTTTTACGTCTTTTGTATATAACAACAATATACCCAGTTATCGATTTGGTTATCGATTTAGCATATTTATAAATCGATAAATGATATGCCGAATCGATAATATTATAATAGAGCCGAACCGATCGATAACCACCCCTACTTGTAGGCTATGCTTTAATATATGTAGTAAGCCTTTATTTGCAACAAACAAAATTAAAATACATTTAGAAAACTTAAGCATTCAATGATAATATATACTCCTTATTATGTAATTTGTCATTTTTAATTTATTGTATTGTCAAGAAAAAATTCTAAACTTGAATTCAAATTAGCTTTTAAAATGACCAATTTTACCTTTAAAAATTAAATCTACTTGATACCTCCATATTTATATATATACTAAAAACTTTTATATTTGTGCATAAAGTTTTGTAGTTTAACTCTTATAGAGGTAAAATTTAGTTACTTTAATATGACAAAATAATTTTATATTTTTATTTTTTAGGAGGGAAATTCAGTAACAATACATAAAATAATTCAAACATTTAACTATTAAATTGTTTCATTTGGAACGAAATCCCTCTGTCCTATCAAAAAAAAAAAGAAAAGTAAATATACGTTTGCAAATATTACACAATTTAGGTTGGGATAAAAAAGTAGTATTTTTTCCTTTTCATTTTATGTGGCAATAGTGATTGATGCATAACAAAAGGGCAGCTTGCTGCACAAATCATCTCGCGTTCATGTAGAATTCAAAGAAAAATTGCATCCCAAGAAATATAGTGTAGGTTGATTCCTGCGTTCACACAAGCACCTCGCACTCATACAAGCATCAATAGCTGATTCTACAAAGCGAAGCCTACAAAACGAGCTTGTAACTGATTGGTGCATAATTTAATTTAATAAATAAAAAAGAATCTTGATACATAAATTAAATTTGAATTTATTAAGTTTTATATATGTCAATATAAAAAATATTATTCCATCCGTTTCTGACTGGTCACAGAGTTATGAAAAGAAAAAAGATTTTTGAACTTGTGGTGTAAATGAGGTACATATATTTTGTGTGATTATAAATTATTGCATTAAAATAAATTATTTTCAAATAAAAAAAATGAATATTCTTTTTTGCACGAACCAAAAAAAAAAAAATTCGCATAAATTAAAACAAAAAAAGTATTAAATTACAATCAAATATCTACATGCAAGCCTCTAAAGAAAATATGAAATTTATAAGCTTGAAAATATATCACGTTACCTGATATAATTTATTTTCGTCTTTACTATCAACGATAGTATCAGTCCTGAATCATATAAAGTGGAACGGAAGGCGGCGTAATATTTTTGGAACGGACTGAGTGAACAGGAGTAAAAATGATATTTAAAAATTAAAGTCGTGTTTGAACATAAATATAATTTTGGATTATTTTTGAAAATTTTATGAGTGATTTGAGTGAAAATTTTAAAAAATAGCTTTTTGGATTTTTTGAATTTTTAAAATTCATAAAAATTAAAAATTGGATGGCCAAATATTAATTTCAAAAAAAAAATGAATTTTCGGAAAAAATAAAAAAATTCTTACGTCCAAACGGGCTCTCTATATATATCCAAAGAAAGTGATGCACTGGAACCAAAATTAAGAAACAAGAAAAGAAGAAGATGAGAGTGCTAGTGGCGATTGACAATAGTGAAGAGAGCTTCAACGCTCTAAAATGGATCCTTGATTATCTCCTCAGGCAGGAATCTCATACAATGGAGGAGGAGAAGGAGCCTTGTACAAAGCTGAGTCTTGTACATGTAATGGAGCCATTCCCTCAATACGCCTATCCTGATACTCACGGTTGGCTATTTTCATTTCGAGAAAATAACAAAGAGACAGATTCGCTAACAAACAATATTCAAATTTTCGAGCCTAGGTTTCTCGATATATAGAAAAAACATTAAAGTGGAATAGTTTTTTTTTCCCAACGTATTTGACAAGCTGGATATATCCATACTGCAAGTTGCTTCGTGCCATGAATGAAACGACGATTTTATTGATGTATTTTTGTGTTTGGGCATAGTGATAGAGTCAGCAACTCGGGCGCAAGCGCAAGAGGCAGCACGCATACTGGCGCGTGCCTCTGAAATGTGCAAAGACAAACTGGTTCGTTTCTCTAATCCATCCTTTAAACTTTCATAAGTTATTATGGCATTTTTTAATTTAGTAAAAGTTTTATTCAATAAAATTTGACAAACACAGGTAAAAAGAGTATATATATATATATATATATATATTTGACATTTCAGGCAAAAAGTGTTCCATTATCGTTGATTCATTGTGCTCTACATATTATGCTACCACATGTTTACCTGCACAATTTAATGGGATGTTCCCTTTTTGTTCCTTTTTTCCGAAATTTTGATTAGTAAATTTATATATTTGGTGTTTAGATCAAAGCAGAAACTCTAATTCTTGAGGGTGATCCAAAGAACATGCTGTGTGAAGCGACAGAAAAAATGAACATCGATCTTCTTGCAGTTGGTAGCCGTGGACTGGGCCAAATAAAAAGGTGATATCATAATATATTTTCCGATAATGCTTTTTTGTTTGGAAAAAAAAAAGAAAAAAACAGAAATAGCTAGTTGGTTTATATTTATTAGTGCTACCTGGCAGTAAGTATTCATTAACTCAAATTAATTACTCGCGTTTTCAACCGAACGACAGAAGTCTTAGCATCCAAATTTCAATTCGATTTTAGCACTCAATATTTAAAACTCAGTAGCTATTTCTTTTACGCAAACCTTCAGCTCAACAACAATTCTAAAAACTCCAATCCAGAAGAAGAGAAGTAGAGTTTGTGTCAAATCCAGCAAAATAGAAGGAAAATAATGGAAGTGCCTCAACAACATTTCAATGTATCAAAGCAATCTCTCCAACTAAAAGAAAGAGAAATTTTTCCTTAAAAAGTTAACAGAACAAGAAACCCACAAAAAATAGAATCCAAATGGAGAGAAGAAAGAAAACTAGAATACAAAGAGAGAAAAGAGAAAGAGAAACCGAATAAATATAGATGAAGACACTTATACAGAGACGTGAAAAGAGAAAAAGATTTTAAACCAAAAAAAAAAAAAAAAAGGAGAAAAAGAGAAAGGTAAAGCGGGATGTCATTTAGACCTATGCTTCGAATTACAGTACACAGAGAAATATTATGTTGTGTCTTAGTCTATAATTAAATAAATTTTACACCTAATAATGTAAAATCAATTGGCTATAAATGGATCTTTGTGGGGGAAAAAGAATAAGTAAAACAAAAGTGTAAGATATAAGGCACCTCTTGTTTCACTTACAGAGATCCAACATTGACTATCAAGAAATATATTCATCCGTTATGGATATAATAACATTTTGATGTCGCATCAGTTTATGCGATTACAACTGCCTCAATAGCTCAATTGATAATGAAGAATTTAAAATGCTTGAAGCAAATAATTCAATATCTCGAGAAATGCATTCGATCAAATTACAGTACCTAAAACAACCAGGGCACATGTAATTTAACCGTAGTTGTACTTCTGAAGGAAGGGTGCATAAATGATGTTATTTATCTATGTATTTTAAGAAAGAGAACAACATTAGAAATCGATCGTTATACTTGGTTATGTTTCAAACCAATTTAACGTTTAACATATAAGATCTTTATCTATTTATCTGCCTACAGAAAAGGTCTTAAAACGATTTCACATGGATAAAACACAAGTATTCCAACGATTGTTCGATCACTTGAAATGAACAAGGATCCACTTTGACCTCAAGAAGAAAATGAGGAACTCCTTAGTCATGAAGTTCCGCATTTTCTCTATGCAATTTGTACACTTATGAATCCTGCTATTGATACAAAGTCTAATATAGCATTTTCTCTTAATCTATTAGCAAGATATAGTTCTGCATCCAAAATCTGAAAGGACATCAAGCATATGATGCAATATATAAAGAAAACTATTGATATGAGTTTGTGTTATGATAACAAAAATATTCTAGAACTTTTTGGTCATGCAAATGGATATTTATCTAATCCATAAAAAGCTCAATCTCAAATAAGCTAGTACTTGTTTATTTGCGGAGGTACTGCCATATTATAAATCTCTACAAAGTAATTTATTGTTGCCAATTTTCAATTTATTCGGGAGATAATGTATAAACGAATCAAGTTGGGAAGTGTGTGGTTGAGATTAATGGTACATTTCATTCGAGATTTAGGGTTTTGTAAGTTTCTAAATGGTTTCTCTTTCTTCACAAAATAAATATTTTAGACAAAATGCATCTTCAGATACATTTGTTTACTTTGGCCAAATAACATTATGCTACTTTTTGGCTATGTCTAATTAAAACATGAGGTAAAAGGTGACTTGTTAAGATGCATAGAGTACACAAATACTTGAGTGATTTTAGTTGGAGATCCCAAATTCAATTTCTCAACCCAAAATTCAACCTAAGGTCGTGATGGTGCCTATTTGCTCCCTAGGCAATCTAACACACAACAACAATAGAAACAAATTATTAAGTCCTTAAATATATTCATGATATAAATGACAATTCGGAATATGCCTAAAGATCAATATCATAAATACAAAAGTCAAGACAGGGTCATATCTGTCTAAAAACACCCAATATTCGGTGTCACATCACGACGAGCATCTAATAAGAGTAAAAAACCTCAACCGAATAACAACACTTGTCTGGAACGAAAATACATAGATAGGGAGAGAAAATAGGGGAAAGAGGACACCAACGGATCAAGTAAAATAGCTCACCACGAAGTCTCCACACTTAACTCCTACTCAGCCAAGTGGGTACCTCTAATACCTGCCTCAGATCCCGCACAAAATGTGCGGAAGTATAGTATGAGTACAAAATTACAGTACTCAGTAAGTATCAAGTCAAGTCTAACCTCGAAGAAGTAGTGGAGTGGTTGACATAAACACTTACTAACAGTCTAAAAAATAAATAAATAAATACGAAATAAAGCATGATATCACCAAATAGGCACAAAAGCTAGAAATACATGCATGTAGAATTAGACATACTTTCTAGATAAAGAGATCAAATCAGATATCAAACACTTCACGCGCAGAATTTTTTTTTACTATATGAGTCATATCATGCTCAGGATCCCTTCTCAACACCTCACAGCACGAAATCCATGTGCCTCATACATGCCATGTGTCCAAACCATGCACCAAAGGGGACTTACGCTCACAAAGCCTAACGTAAATGAGTAATCACCTGACTTCTGAGGGATAGATTCATATCCGAGCGTTGATCACTTTACAATCAATGATCAATAGTCAAAATCAATCTCCGCTCATAGCCCGTAGTGCCAAAATTCTTAACTTTTCACAATAATCAACTCTCTAACTCATGTGTGAAATAATATTAATAAAAGAGTATAGGACATAACAATAAGGATGCAGATAAAAGTTCATATGGCTATGGTTAATCATGTGATTCAATTTATCACGACGACTCAATGAGCTAGTTCAACGAGCATAAGTCTTAATTTTATTATTTAACATGAGTAAATTAAGTCATATAACCACCAAATCATGAAACAATTAAGGCAAGTGTAAATGCTATAAAAATCAATTCTAAACAACAAAGCTTTTTCTTTATCAAATCTTCCAAAAGTCAAAACAAAATTCAAGCCGGGACCATGAGTTCAAATATATGATTAAATTATAAAATCGAGTCCCAATTGACCCTCAAATCCCTAAAATACATTCTTTTAAAGTGTAAAAAAAATTTCAAATTTCTTTTTACAATTTCATGTTCTAATTTTATAAATCAATGGGAACCAAGATATATAATCAAATTCAAGTATAAAGTACTTAACCTCAAAATAGTAGTAAAAATCTCCTTCAAAATTGCCTCTTTTTGTGCTCAAAAACTCAAATAGTGAAAAATAAGCGAACCCTCGAGATATGTAGTGTGATAGGCAATCTCGCATCTGCGACTAAAATCCTCACATCTGTAAGGTCGCATTTGCGGCCAAAATCTCGCTTTTACGAGCTGCTTCCCGTCAACCTGGCCTCACACCTACGTGACTCGCCTTCCGCTTCTGCGGCATCGCAGGTGCGCATTACACTAGCCTTTTCCCCGTCGTAGGTGTGCGACCAACTCTGCTTTTGGGACTCCACATCAGCGCAGCCGCCTTGCAAATGTGGCCAACCACAGGATTAAGCCCAAGCGCATGTGCGCACAAATCCATCGCAGGTGCGACTTCGCACCTGCACACAGTAATAGCTTGTGTGATGTGCACCAGTGCGTCACCAATGGTAAACCACTCCCAAATTGTCTGAAACCATCCAGAGGCACACGCGAGTCTTCCACGATTTCATCCAATCATACCAACAAGATCCTATACCAATTAAAACTTATCCATAGACTCAAAACACCAAAAATAACAACAAATTCAAGAATCGAAGATTAAAATTCATCTAACTTTCAAACATAACTTTCAAACATTCCAACTTCGCTAAATGCGTTCGAAGTCCGAACCATGCCTAAACATTTCGGATTTCAACAGAACTTTGCACACAAGTTCCAATCAACTATATGAACCAATCCAAGGTCTCGAAACAACATTCAGATCTGATGACACCAAATAACATATGAACTTTTCAATCCTTCAAATTGACAACTTTCGGCAAACAAAGGCAAAACCTTCTAGGAACTTTCAAATTCGATTCCGAACATACGTCCAAGTCTAAAATCACCATACGAACCTATTAGAACCATCGAATTGTCAATCCAAGGTCGTCTACTCAAAAGTCAAACCTAGGTCAACTCTTACAACTTAATCTTCCAAAATGAGACAAAGTGTTCCAATTCACTTCTGAGCCTTCCCAAGACTAAACAAATCATCCCTGCAAGTCATCAAACATCAAACAAACATAGGGTAAGCATAAAATAGGGGAACAGGGTCTTAATACATAAACAACTGGCTGGGTCATTACATTCAAGAAGCAAACTTTCTCTGGATAAAGAACAAAAAAGAACTTTTGACAAAAATTTCACTCTTATAACCAACTATCCATATCTGAGAGCTCATGACAAAGATAAAATTTTTCAATGTTGCAGGGCGTTTCTGGGAAGCGTAAGCGACTACTGTGCCCACCATGCGAAATGCCCTTTGCTTATTGTGAAGCCTACTAAGGAGTCTCATAAATAGAATTTGGTTCAAGAAGTTGATGCAAGTTTAAGTATAAGAAGTTGCTGTAAGTATGGGATGTGCATTGTGCAATAAGGTAGAAGTAAAGGAAGTGCTTCCTCCCCCTTCTCTCTGTTGTAGAATATGTAGATAGTTCATGTCATAAAAGCTTGCAAGTATGGGATGTGCCTTGTGCAATAAGGTAGAAGTAAAGGAAGTGCTTCCTCCCCCTTCTCTCTGTTGTAGAATATGTAGATAGATAGTTCATGTCATAAAAGCTTGCAAGTATGGGATGTGCCTTGTGCAATAAGGTAGAAGTAAAGGAAGTGCTTCCTCCCCCTTCTCTCTGTTGTAGAATATGTAGATAGTTCATGTCATAAAAGCTTTTAAGAATCATTTTTTTTGTTCCTATTGTCCTTTAGATTGTAGATGATTATAGATGGTGTCTTTTGACGTAAAATACAACGAATTAAGGTGTAAAACACATTAACTTCAATCTCAGGCTGTCATCCACCGGTATATCTGCTGCAAGTCCTTTCCGTATCCATGTCCGTAGGGTTTAATTTTCGTTGGCGGATTGCAGATCACATTAACAACATTTTTGCGACTCTGAGGAAGAAACTGTGATACACTTGTGACACCGAATTTTGGGCTCGGTGGAAGAACCGCTATGCACTTGTGACACCGGGTTATGAAGAATTGAGAAGAATTGCTATGCACTCGTGACACCGGATTTTGAAATAATTGAAAGAAAACTGCTTCACTAACCACTGACACCTCCAGGCTCCATATCATTTACTAAATATCTCATAAACGAAGTATTATCAATTTAGTTGATGAACTTTGATGTGTGATGCTTTTATCTCCGGCAATTCACTAGTGTTTATCAGAATTTTGAAAGCGATCACTCTCCCCACGACAAAGTACTTTACAAAGGCTTTTACAGAAGATGAAAGTTACCCTTGTATCCATAGGCATTAATGAAATTAACCGCATCTCATTTTCCTGGCGTCTACAGCAGTAGAAGCAGTATTTTGAGTGGACTTGAAGAAGAGAGGTTAAAGAAAATAGTACATCTTCTTGGAAAAGCCTATAGGTATATTACCGAAGAGTGAAAAAGTAAGTTTGCCGCAACAGCAATTTACTCAACAAAGCTACTTCAGCTGTAACAATCAAGCAACAAGTAGCCATTATATTGATCCATCTATATCTAAAAAAAAAATCACAAGTCAAGCAACCAGTCAGAGTTCACTATTTAAACAGGTCGTCATGACCAACTGTCATAATATTTGCCTCAGAGAAACATTGAAAATCTCCTAATTATGGATTATTCCTTTTTTGGTAAATCCTAATGCTGGATTAATATTTATGACCGTTGGTGCTCCCAAGAAAAGAAAAAAGAAAAAAAATACATGTTAGAAAAGAGCATCATTCACCAAGTCAGCTGCAGCATACAAACGTCTTTATGCAACTTGCGGACAAAGAGGCACTCGTGCTTTCAAAGAGGACGAAACAGAGACGAACAAACAAAGGAAACCAAGAAACATACACTTAACTATATATTACTACTATAAAAAGACAAAATTTTACAACCCATTGCCCGTTGACACGATATTACATACAGCTGGAAGAGGGGACGGGAGAAAAGGATTAACAGATATCACAAATCTACAATGTGCCGAACTATCAAACTATACATTCCCTTCAAAATCTTCTATGCAGGAGAAATAATGCAAAAGACGTGAAAAGATATAAAAAATTGTAAAAAAAGGGGGGAAGGGTGAAGAAGCCCAGCCCTCAATAGAGCAATAACGCGGAAGATTGACGACGATAACTAAAGCCACATCCTAACCACAAAGAAAGGAGCGAGTACAACATTCTCTTCCCCAACCAAATCAAAGGAAGAATAATAGCCGAAACTGAAGAAATCACCTTGAGAAAACAGAGGATGCAAGTCCCCTTTATCTAACTGAATGAACTTGATGCCAATTCTCTGCCTTCCCCGTCGTCATTCCACAGCTCTCAAAACTTTTACGTGTCCCTTCTATAATGAGAGGGTCATTCGCTAGCTCCATTGCACGGGCGGTGAATTACAAGACCTTTCAGTTGTATATCTTGACAGGCTTTTCAAAGGTGTGTCGGTTCTGCAATTAAAATTGAAGATTAAGCATGAATACTTTTTTTTCTTTTTTCTTTTTGGAGATTACATACAAATTGAATCCTTGTCTAATACTTGATGAAGGCTGTCAACCAGAGGCGGATTTCGGATTTTATGTCTATGGGTGCCACTATATTAATGCAAATCGACCACTAGTGAAGGAGATTGAATTAGGATGTACATTCAGTCAACTCGATCCGCTTTAGATTAATTCGGTTGGTTTCGATCCATTTTGAATTATTCAGTTCAATTTGAAAGATCTTTTATGCATAAATGAATATGGGATACGCCCCTTCAATCTACATGTAGCTGGTTAATATTATGTCTTTGATGCATCACTCTAAATATTTTCTGAAATTGATAAAATAACATCAGATGGATAAAAAGAGAAAATGATTAAAATTAGAGCTAAATAAAAATTGAAGATTGAGAAAAAAACAATGGAAGCACAATTTAAATAAGCAATAAAAATAGCATTGTATAAAAAAAGTGAATAACAAAGATGAAGAAAAGAAAAGAAATTAAGAAAAGGAGCCTAAAGAAAAAAAAGGAAAGGTAACAAAGGAACAATTAGGACCATCATAATACAAAGAGCTGAGTCTTGCATATGGTATTTTAGCACTTCAACCGTGGCACCTACTGTCATTTTGTGATTAGGGGTGCCACTCTGTGTATATAGGATTATTTTTAGGAATATACTAGCATATATATATATATATAAGATTTTATCCAAGCGACCGGGTGGCGTGTCACCTACAACCGCATACATAAGATCCATCCCTGGTGTCAACTGAATTCTTATCTCATAGTAAACCTAAAATAGGTCCTGATCACTAAAACCCAAGCTCTATATGACAAAATTCCTCTCCCAAAAGCTTGAATAGAGATACATGACCACTTCCATTTTAATGTCACCATATTGTTTCATAAACTATTTACCTTTCATATTCCTACTAGTATTCAAATATTCCGCAATCTAGGTCTACTACAAATATGTATTTAATCTCTATACCTAAATCTCCACGAAATCCAGGGGAAAAGAAACTCGTTTCATTCTAGAAAAGAGAGTAACTTGTTAAAATGTTAAAAAGGAAAAGAAAAGAAAAGGAGTAGCAGATTATGTTGCAATTCAACATTTTGGCTTTTTTTTCACTTCTGGATTTTGCATTATAAGTGAATAACTACTGGTTTTCTTTTGGTTCCTCATTTTCCATCAAAGATGGAAGCATGTCACACATTGTCATTCATCTTTTTGCATTATTTACTCTTATTCACGTAATTAGGATGAAAAAGTTGGGATGGGTAGTTACTCATCAAAAAAAAAATGTTGGGATGGGGAGTTTCTGAATGAACTGATTTTGACTTTTGCCAAGCAAAGGTGCCTGTTAGACTCAACATCTGCAGAAATATTTTTATGAGATACCAACAACGAAGTTTCCATACAATAGACAACAACGAACACATTTTTCTAGAGTTAAGGATTTACCTCTCTTTAGCGAAGGCTAAATCTAAGGCACATGAGTTTGTTGTTTTTTTTATTTATTTAGTTTTTGGTTTTTTATTGTCTGTCTCCTAATCAGTTACTTAGGTGCCATTTATACTGCTGACATAGAAGTGCTTTCCAGTTATTAGAGATCACACGTCAGCTTTAGGTAATAGAAAGTTTACCTGGCTAACTGAGTAAGCTCTCTTAGTTGTATTATCTGCATGCTCCAACCCAAGATACTGTTCCCAAGCACCATAAACATCTCTTCTCTGCACGCGGGAATATTTATGCATTTTCGGTTTGGGCAGGAAGAAGAAACAATGAAAACAGAAACCTAATTGAACCCGTAAAAACTTGCGATCAATTTCTAGGGGAAGAAGGAAACCAAAAATGAACTTTAACCTGGAAACGACTGGATACAATGTCAGAGTCCTGAAGGTAATCTGGGCGCCCCAATGATAAAAATGCAAACTTCCACTGGTCACAAAAAGAGCACACAGTCAGTCATAAGACTCTTAACAGTTAAGAGCAACGGCTAGAAGCACGAAGCATGGGTGTCAAGTATGTGACTTGAATGCAAAACATTTTGCTGCCTGAGCAATGTACCTTAGAGAACTCCTCATTTGGAACCTGCAATTTCTTTTGAATGCGCACTTTAATCTCAGCTAAAGTTTCACCTTCATGGATAACCAGAAAGAAAGGTTCCCCGAAATTCTGTACTTGCTGTTGAAAACCAATCCAATTAGTAATATCTATTGCTAATGCAGCAGAATTCAGTATTGATACAGTAAACATAGACGAAAAGTTAAATACCATTTGATTCTGTGGAGTCTCTTTCGTGAAATGGTAAACATGAATTAAACGATCATGGGGACCAAGTTTTTTCTCTTCTTCTGGTATCTAGTAACAAACAACGCTATGGTTAGCAAGTAAAGAACGATTATAAGTGCTGAACAGTATCATCATTATATGCCCCAGAAGCTCTCAATTGCAATAAAGGTGGTTGTATGAGAAAAATTACAACATAAAAAGTTAATTTCTGACTACTTTACTTTTGTGAATGCACATTCAACAATTAAAGCTGACATGGGGGAAAGCACTGAATTGAGTTATAGGATGGGTCCTAGATTCCCTATATTGAAAGTTTGGGGGCTTGTGGAGTTGGAGGGAGGGAGAAGCTTAATTTCTCTGCATAACTTTCCAAAACTCCCGCCATTTTAAGGAGGTTTTTTCTTTTTTAAGAAAAAACAGACGAGGATACGAGGGAGAGAGAAGAGCAAGCATATAAAACCAAGAGAACTCACCTCCTCTGCCCGCAATGTCCAGTACTGGTCATTTATATTCTCAATTTTTTCAGTGAGTGGAAAGATCTGCACATCAACAATAGCAAGGGTGAGATGCGCAGACACACATAAAGATTAAAGTTTAAACATTCTTTGAAAGATCACCTATGCTATTAAATGTGCAGAACTAAAATTTAAGCATAAAGTAGAATTAATGACAGAAGGATTGTACTTGTCCCGGAATCCTAACCTTATAGATCTTGTGATAGAAGACTTCAAGTAATCTAAGTTCTGCATCTTGACGAGACAAGTCAACCTGTTTCAGCAGCAACAGTTAGTAATTATTTCACATGCAATAACTAGATGTCATAATTGCCCCTAACCAATTGCATGCACAAAATGGATGATAGATTTAATCTCATACTATAAGTAAATTTCTGAATGATTCTTTTCCACTTTCGTTTCCATATGGGAACTAAGTGCATAGGCAGGTAGAACTCCTGCAAAAGGAGGAGGTACAGATGTCCTCTCGACCAGATAACCAACAAGAGACCATCTCTAGATTAGACTGCACATTGATCAAGCAATGGTTGCTATTTGCTAAACAAGATAATCAGAATACTCCCTCCCCCTAAAAATATTGCTTTTCCAGTGGTCTAACAGATAAATGCAAGAAATTGCAGTTTTATGACTAAATTATAGTTTGTAATCTTCATTCTCAAAAGTAATTTGAGTAGAGCCAATCCCACTCAAAGAGAAGGTCAAGTAGACCGTTCAGAAGAAATATCACCCAATCAAACTGAGAAAGAAGGGGAATCATCCAATTAGCAAAAAAGCAGACAATAGTCTTGTGTAGAGTGTCGCCATCGGGTTCGGTCGAACCCATAAGCTTGGTTCGACTCTGTATTTATCTTAAAAAATTCATTAAATGTGTATAAATTATTAGTTTAAAATTCAGTAACTTAAAACGATTAGAATCCCAAACCCATAAACTTCAAATTCTGGCTCCGTCTCTGCTGACAAGTGGTGAACCAAAACAGATTCTGTTCTTTACCTTAAAAAAGTGGATTAGTTCCCTTTTCAAACTGTTGCTAAATAAGTATTCAAATCCAGAGTACAGAGAGTAATGCCAAAGAACCCCTTTGCATCCCACAACCTTTTTGGCTAAAGATTCAGTGGAAAGTATACTTTGTTTTTTGGTCAAAGTGAGTTTTCTAATCTTTCTTTTCTTGGGCATAAATTTTTGTTCTTCAAGTTTGACTTTCCCAACTTGTGTTGTGATACAAATTTATAGATCTTTTTGAGCTGTCATTTGAACAATTCGTCGAGAGGAAAAAAAAATTGAACACCGTAAAATCTTGAAAAGAATAGGAGATAGACAAGACTGTACTTTCTAAATGCGGTTTAAAAATAACCCGAATAAATTAAGGAGTTATCTTGTTCCCAGACAAGTTATACTCCAATTAAATAAATCACTGGATTATTGTTGGTTAATCATAATAAAATTTGGATACACGGTGTATAGTTTATAAAAATCATGTTTTATTTTTAAGTAAGATAAAAAGAAGTTTCTCCAATAATACTCTTGACCTGCTTACATACTTTATCAAATTAATATTTCAGTTATTCTAATTGAAAAATTGTCTAATATAATTAAAAATAAAAATATATTTTAATTACCTATCTTTTAATCATCTCAAATAAAGACCACCATAGGACGAACTTTAAGATAGGCGATACTAAATCATGGTATAAATGATTAAATAAATATAACTAAAACATTACTCTTCTAAAAGTGATCCTTTTTGCTAAGGTACTCTTGTAAAATTGATTAAAAACTATTAGATAAATATAATTTAAGAATAAATATAAATTTTACTGTCATTAATGTTAATTATCTCAAATATACAACATTTTCAGCAATTTCAAGGTAAGATGCTAAAATATGATATAAATAAAATCAATATTATTCATCTTGTAAAGATTAAAGTTGTATTTAAACATCATATTATAATTTGAATCAATACTGCAAACAAATAAGACATAACAACAGATGGAACTAAACAAGTAATAATATTGAGAATTCTTTTGTTATTAACACATACTCTTATGCAGGCAATATTGTTATTCCATGTTAGGGGAATTACCACATAGCAAAAATGAGTATTATTAATATGGAAAACCAAAAATGATAACCGACTACCTGATTACTGATCAGAATTTAATAATAGGATTATTTTGATTAAACGGGTATCCAACAACCTTGGAAGAGCATTTGCAGCAGAATCAAAAAGGATTACATGCTGATACTGTCAGTTTCAAAGATTCTCAATATCACGAACAATAATTTCTTTTACCACAGAGAAATCCTCGTTTCAGCTTCAAAACTCTGAGATAATGGGTATCCCTCCTCTACCCTTCTCCACCTAACATACCATACTTAAAGCAACAGCCAATTTTTTACCTCGTGATGAGCCACTACCACACACACCGTGCTCTACTGCCTTGGCCATTGAACCAAAGCCCTGGGGCAACATCACAAAAAGTAACTATTTCTTAAAAATATTCCTCTTCTTAATCGTAGTGTCTTCTCTATAACTATTATAATTCCACAAGTGGGTCTGGGGAGGGTAAGATGTACGCAGCCTCACCCCTACCCTGCAAAGGTAGAGAGGCTTTCAGATAGACCCTCGACTGGAAAAAGGATCAAAAGAAAAGTAGTGGCAACAAGTAGAAACAACAACAAGATAAAAAAGACCGAAGACAAAAAAGGCAGTTAAACTCTAGGTAGTAATAGCAATCTATGAATAAATGGATATCATATTAACACTAACGCTTGCAAACCGAGTAAGATAATGAAAAACGCTCGAAAACCTACTAACCTTCTACCCTAATTTTCAACCTCCATACCCTCCTATCTAGGACCATGTCCTCTGTCAGCTCTAGTTGCGCTATGTCCTGCCAAATCACCTCTCCTCAAGACTTCTTAGGCCTACCTCTACCCCTCCTGATACCCACTAGGGCTAACCTCTCACGCCTTCTAACTGGGGATTCTATACTTCTCCTCTTAACATACCCGAACCATCTCAATCTCGCCTCCCACATCTTATCCTCCACTGGGGTCACTCCTACCTTATCCCGAATAACTTCATTCCTAATCTTATCTAAACTGGTATGCCCACACATCCACCTTAACATCCTCATTTCAGCTACTGTCATCTTCTGAACATGAGAGTTCTTGACAGGCCAACACTCTACTTCATACAACATAGTCAGTCTAACTACTACCTTGTAGAACTTACTTTAAGTTTCAGCGGCACATTCTTATCACACAAGACACCAGAAGCGAGCCTTCATCCATCCTACTCCCCGTTACCTTGAATTATAGATCCAAGGTACTTGGAGTTGTCTCTCCTGGGGATGACTTGTGTATCAAGCCTCATACCCATGTCTGCTTCCTGGGTAACTTCGCTGAACGTGCACTCCAAATACTCCGCCTTGGTTCTACTCAGCTTGAAACCTTTAGACTCAAGAGTCTGTCTCCAAAATTCCAACCTGTCATCAACACCTCCTCTTGTCTCGTCATTCAGAACTATATCATCTGCAAATAACATACACCACGACACCTCCCATAGCGTTAATGCGTCCATCGCCAAACAAAATAAAAACGAGCAAGGGTTGATCCATGATGCAACTCCATCACAACCGGGAAGTGTTCTGAGTCTCCTCCCGCTGTCCTCACCAGTATCTTAACTCCATTATACATGTCCTTAATCACTCTAAGGTAGGCTATAGGCACACCTTTAGCCTCTAAACACCTCCATAAAACCTATCTCGCGACTTTATCGTATGCTTTGTCTAGGTCAATAAACACCGTATGCAAGTCCTTCTTCATTGTCCTATACTGATCCATCAATCTCCTCACCAGAGGAATGGCTTCCGCAGTCGAACGACCCGGCATGAAGCCGAACTGGTTCTCGAAAATAGACACACTCCTTCTCACCCTCCATTCCACCACCCTCTCCCAAACTTTCATCGTATAACTCAGCAGCTTAATTTCCTTATAGTTATTGCAATTCTGGATATCACCCTTGTTCTTGTACAACGGAATCACCGTACTCCACCTCCATTTTTCAGGCATCCTCTTTATCCTAAAAATGACATTGAACCTAGAGAGTCATTTCAAGCCTGCCTTACCCACGCTCTTCCAGAATTCTACCGGGTTCTCATCTGGCCTGGTCGCTCTATGCTCATCTTACGCATCGCTCCCTCGACTTCCCCCACACTTATGCGCCTAACCTCCTATCATTCAAGAGTTTGTGGAAGTATGACTGCCACCTCCGCCTAATCTATGCCTCCTCCATCAGCACTCTACGCTCCTCGTCTTTTATGCACTTCTCTTACTAAAATAAAAATAACTTACCCCTGATCTGGCTGAAAAAGGAAAATCAGAAAAGCAAGGTTTCCTGGGACCTGTCATCGTATCTCCCCATTGACCAAGTGCATGGATAAAGAATCCAGCTTTAAACTCCCAAGTTATGGGTAAAACAGGAGGGTGATTAAAAAAAACATCTCCCAACCAATGAGTTGAAAGAAAATGGGGGAAAACAAATTAAAACGTCCTATTATATCACACATTTGGAACACGATTTACAAGATCAAAAACATGGACACAACGAGACAAGTAGCCAATACATGTCTATTATCTTCTGAAATGTAATTGGTGACAGATACAAACCCTCCCACCTAACAACAAGATTTTACTAAGGGGTGGCACTCTTCTGTGAAACTTTTTTTTTTAACTGAGGAGGAACCTGCTAATCCCTTTCATATATTCAATGCAGAATTCAAGATAGTAAAACCTCGGTACTTACCTTTGATTTGATTTCATTAAGCACATCACCCACAGTACTCTGCTTAGGCAATCTTATGTTCAGAATTTCAATCTGAAAGCAATGAAACCTCAATTAGAGAAAGCACTAATCAAAGAAGAAAGAACAAACTTGGTCATCTCAGACGCACCTCATCCTTTGTGGAATGATGAAAGGCGACCTTGAGTGTCTTCAGACATTGCAACTCTGGCAGAGGGATGTCCAGAACTTCATAATACAGAATATCAGAGATCTGTAAAGGGATAAAAATAACAAATCAGAAAGAACAAGAAAAGAAAATCTGAACCGAGTAAGTCCATAGCCACATGCATCATTGTAATAAAATACTGTGCTACTTTGTCATGTTAATTAAAGCATACAAAAAGCGCCTATACACTTCCCTATTGAAGTCAATCCATGCATACGAACCTGATTGTAGTGGATAAGCATGTCAACCAGATGATCGACAGACCGATACTTAATCGGGTTGGGCTTTGGTTGCTGTGAGTAGCAGTTATGAGGAGTCAGCCTAATTTTTGAAGGATCATCCACACCAAGACGCTGAGCTACTTTGTCCACTACTTCATCATATGTGTTGCTTTTTGCTCTGAAATTCATGAAAGATGGATGAATCATTAGAAGCAAGTGCTTTGTACTACTGCCAGCAAGCCATGAAAACATCAAATATACTCACAACTCCAGACAGAAATCAACTTCCTTTGGTTTCTCCAGAGCTCTGAAATGGACAATCTGTAATCAATTTTTTCAAATATAAGCAATCAAAATTGATGTCCACAATGGAGACACTATAAAGAACCTGCTGCACCATACACAGGCATCCAGTGAAAATTAGCGTTGAACATTAGTATTCCCTTCCTCAACACATAGGCACCCGTAACCAAAGCATAAATGGAAGAAGATATATCCAACTAAAACAGAAAGGTACAGTCGCGAGAACGGAGCCATAACCGAAAGTTGCGATTCACCTGGCGATTTTTCACATATTCCAAAAATGAAGAAACATCCGGGTATCGGACTTGCTCTTCAACTTCAGGAGAAGGTTTCTTCTGAAAGCAGATAATGTCTCCATCTTCAATCTGTCAGAAATAGGAAAGTCAATAAAGCTAATCTGAACAACGAAAGATAAACAATTAGCATTAGAGAGTGTGTAGGTGTGTGTGTGTGGTGTGGGGTGGGGGGGGTAAGGGGGGGGTCAAAAGTGAACGTCGAAAAACCT